CATTACAAGTGGTTTCGCCTTGAAATCACCGTTCCTAGGGCAGGGAGAAAATAATGTAAAATAAAGTAAAGGTGGTTACACGGTGTAACCACCTCGCCTCAAAGGGTTACGAGGAGTAGGCCTACCCTAAAATTAAGGAACGCTCGACCTCGAAATGCAGTATCCCAATGGGTGTTATCGCCTCTTGATACCACTGAACAACCTTGAACCTTGAAAGAAAATGAAACGAAGCAAAATTTTAGGAAATGGTGGAAACGGCATTAGAACTCTAAATGACGAAAGCACATTCGATATCTGGAAAAAGAAAAGCTTAAAATGAACTAAATTAATTTCGGGATTCAGCCCAAATATCACTGCACAGATATGCAATTGGAAATTCGTTAACCTGTACGTGATTCACGCTTTTAATTTAAATAATAATCCTGTTTTCAGAAAAAAAAATCAGTAGCGTCACATTTGCAGGACGTTTTCTTCACAGGTTCACTTTACTAAAATGAGTAGCTATATGTGACTGGAGCGACTTGCACCTTTCACCTCCTACCTTTGTGACTTTCCAGCCTCGCTCTCAGGTTGTTTGCCTATGGTTGATTTCAAAACGGCAGTTCAGTAGCAGTTCGGTTCTAGTTTCAGTTCAGACTAGAGTCTGACTGTAGTTCCACTGTGGCCTAAGTGACTATTCTCATAACAAAATCCCAACTGGAACTGCGACTGAACTAAAATTGAAACTGAACTGTGACTGGACTGCCGTTTTGAAATCAGTAGACCTATATCTTTCTGTGTCGTCCCCCCCTCCTCCATCTTTGGGGGAGAGGGGGATGGAGAAGTAGAGAGATACCATCATATGCAGGGGGAGGGGGGTTTGAACCCCCCCTTGGGTTTGAACCCCCTACCCGTGGTTGCGCCCCTGGTTCAGGTAAATTTTGTGCTGATTTGACATAGAATGACCCTTTTGTAAATAATCGTACTTTTGTGCGCTAAGAAAGAAGCATGTCAGCCTACATGTGGTCACAGCGTGTATTCCGTTGGGCCCTTTTCCCACCATCGGTGTCAGGAATCTATTGTATCATTTGCCGGTGAGAGTTTTTAGAATTAAATATTTTATATTGCTCTATGAATACGCGTGCTTTATTTTTAAATCCATATCATAGGCTTAGGCCTTGCCTAGGTGTTTGGCTAGTCTCAGCATATGGTTTGCCCCTATGTTTTCTATGTTACGAGTAATGAATGTAAGGAATAATAGTGTACAGGGTGAGTCCTAAGTCTGGAAACGCAGGTTTTACACCTATAATTCTTTTGCTCTATGTTGTCATAGAAGACGTTGTTCATAGCGTGTGAATAAAACCAAAATGTACTGATGCCCAAAGAACATTGAGTGGAATTCATTTTGCACGGCCAAGGTTCTTTGGAAGAGTTGCCGAGGCGTTTAACAACAAGCATTCTGGTCGACTACTAATCGCATACTGCAGTTGCTAATAAAACCTATATTTCCAGACTTTAGATTCATCCTGTAGAATAATAGGAATAATAAGATTTTACAGTGTTTTTTTTTATTGCCTGACTTGAGTTGAGTGAAAACATAGTTGCCCAATCATGTAGGAGCCCAACTTTATGTATATTTTAAGTAGAGTTTCCACCCTTTACTAAGTATTGACAGTGCATTCATTTCAGATGCAATGTCCATACTGCATCCTGGCCTTAATATGGAAACTATTTTGTCCATATTTTAAACTTGTTATGACTTTTTCACTCAGTAAAGCTTTACAGCAGCTAATATTATTTTCTGTAAGTCATAAGCGGTAGGCCACACTCATAGTATCAATTGGGGCTTTGGTTTAAGTTGGCTGTGGGTATATTTTGAATATTTGTCCTTATTTTGTTAAATTCATAGGTGGCAACCCTAATTCCGAGGGGGCCAGGATGAGAAACCACTTTTTTTTTAGGAAGTAGTTTAATTCTTGGCAAACTTTACAAAGTGGATTTCATTTTGAGAATGTTTTATTATTTAGCACGAATGCTCTTATGCACATAAGCTTGTAAGCTTATGTGCTTACAGTGTTTCCAGATTGTCTTTTATTTCCATTTATTTTTGCTTTAAGCTTTTCTATGGGCTCTAATGTTGAGTCATGCAGTGGCAGTCCCCTCACTTGTGGAGGGATGTGGCTCCATCAGCTTCACTCATTGTTGTACCTCTTTACATTTAGTGATAATTGCAAAACCCCTTGTTGCAGTGGTTGAACTTTTTTTTTCCAAGTACTGTGTTTAATATCAGAACCAATGATGGGAAGAGATTTCATTGCCTCCACACTCATCTGACCTCACCCAGGTGGCACCATTACATTGTGTCACCTGGGTGACAGTTATCAGAGAGTTATTGATTGTTTGCATACCTTGATATCTCCAATAAACCCCAGAAGTTTAGTTGTTGTAGCATCGTGCATTCTTGTTGTTTTTTTTATTTTTGCCTGCAGTGTATATCCATCAAATTTAGGTATGTTTATTAATCTTAAATGCCTCCTTTTTGTCAGTCCTTTTTCAGGTGACAATTGGCAGACTTCTTGGATTTATACTATAAGCAAAAACACGAAGAAGAATTCTGTGGGCCACACATATTGTCCTCTGACTCTTCCTTTGTTGAATGCAAGTGGAAAATTTTCAAATATGGATACATCACATACAGATGTGATAGAAGAAAAGCCTAAATTCCAAGAATCACATGAGAATAAATCTTCTCATGAAAAAAAAGATGGATTTGGCGATGGGAATAATGCTGGAGAACCATCAAATTTAAAAGAAGAGAATGAGTCTACAGATGGTAAATCAGATGAGCAAAGAACCATCACTCAGAAAATGGATACACAAGATGGTCAAGTTACACAAGACCAAAGCACATTAGGAGATCATGGAAGAGTGCAGTCAGAGAAAGAAACATTTAAAATTGATGGTCATGACCAAGAAGAAGCTAAACAGCTAGATAAGCCTTTCCTTGGGGAAGAAGGAAAGCATAAATCTAAAGAATCACATGAGAATAAATCTTCTTATGAAGAAAAAGATGGACTTGGTGATGGAAATAATGCTGGAGAATTATCAAATTTAAAGGGAGAGAATGAGTCTACAGATGGTAAATCAGATGAGCAAAGAACCATCACTCAGAAAATGGATACACAAGATGGTCAAGTTACACAAGACCAAAGCACATTAAGAGATCATGGAAGAGTGCAGTCAGAGAAAGAAACATTTAAAATTGATGGTTATAACCAAGAAAATGCTAAACAGCAAGTTACAGGTAAGCCTTCCCTTGGGGAAGAGCCACAAACTTGGGTCACAAAAGAAGAAAATAAACCATCAAAACATGAAGTTCACAAAAAGCAGGATCGTGCAACAGCTCAGTCATCACAACTATATATAACCAGACAGGGGAGATGGCAAGAGGAAAAAGGTGTGTTTATATTTTTATGGCTGCATGGTATAGATTGAGAGGAGCTTTGCATATTTTATTTTTATCCTCAAATTTACTTCTTAAACCTGCTGATACTTATTTTCTTCTTGAATTCTATGACTTTAATTCTTTTTTGAAGCACGGTTCCTGAAAATGAATGTAGAGGAGAGGCGCAAGAAATATGCTTGCAAGAGCAACTATATCACACTGAGTGAAATTCGCAAATGGTCAGGTGGCCAGGTGCATGGTAAGTTCATATAATATTGTATTTTTTTTAGATCCTTTTTAGCACCTAATTTCTGAAGATCAAATTTAGTTAGCATACTTAGAAATTGATATTTTTTTACAGGTGAAATTGATGAGTTGAATGCAAAGATCTCAATTTTCCAAGGGGATATAACATGCCTTGAGATTGATGCCATTGTCAATGCTGCCAACAATAGTCTCTTGGGCGGTGGAGGAGGTCAGCATTTTCCTTTTAATTGATGATGACTGATCACCAGTGTACATAGTGTGAGTCTGTATATGGAAGAAATAGATACAGCAGCAGCTATGTCCCCTTCTCTTTTGCAGTGGATGGGGCCATTCATCGTGCAGCTGGACCTGAACTCAGAATGGAAAATGCCACCCTGGGAGGGTGTGACACAGGAGATGCAAAAATTAGTGGAGGATATCGTATGCCTGCAAAATGTTTGTATCTCAGTCTTCTTGTCTCTACAAGTAATGTGCTGCCACACTGTTACTAAAGTTTACTTTTAGTGACCAAAAATGAATTGTGTAGCTGCCAGTTTTATGAAGTCTTGTACAGGGTGTGGCACAATATCCCTCATTTTGATAGCTGATAAAAGTTATTATAAGTGATATCAGTAAAGGAGACATACTGATACATAGGAAAACACTGCAAGTTTCATCTGTTACATAATATGCTCAAAATGATGTCCCCGAAGGTCACCACACTTGCAAACATGCAGGACACAGTTTCTGTTCACAGTTTGAAGAGCTTTATGCTCAACTGATGAAAGGACTCTTGTCACCACTCCAAGGATGTGATGGCAAAAGTTGTCTTGTAGAGACATAAAACAGTTTGGACATGCAAGCCCTCAGTGATGGTCATTTGGGACAGCCACCCTCTCACTGACAAACACAAGTCTATTGTATGCATGCATGTGCCTAAGTTTCATCCCATCAGCATGTTTAAGAGAGCTAATTTTTTAATACATTTTCTATCCTTCATAGTCAGTTGACATTGTCAGCCTCTGTGGTGAAATACAGGAATAAGAAAGGCATATTGAAATGAGTCAATTGATCCCACTTGTTTGAGTTTCTTGTTATAATCCTAAATTTATTTTTTATCTATTTTTTTTCTATGTATACTTCTCAGATGTGATCAGCACTGTTGGGCCTATTGGAGAAAAGCCGAAGTTACTCAGGTCATGCTATGAGAAATCTCTAAGCATACTTGTTGAGAATGGACTTCGTACTATTGTGAGTTGAGCCTTTACTCTTCTGCTGAGTTGTCATTACTGTTGTCATTGCCTACCCTTCTATTCTTTCTAGGCCTTCCCATGCATTTCAACTGGAATATATGGTGAGAGATATCTTGTTAGTCATCTAATATTTTGTGTTATCAATTATAATTCCAGAATGTGATAACTTATTGTTGCTTTTGCTATTACAGGCTACCCTCCTGAAGAAGCTGCTAAAGTTGCCCTTGAAACTGTAAGGAAATTCCTGGAAAAATATGGTGACAAGGTGAGATAATATTTGTCTAAGCATTGATGCTTTCAATCTGATGGACATAAATGTACATCCAGCCCCAACTACCATTGGATGGTGGTGGACATAAATAATTTCCTGGAATAAAATAGAGAACTTATTCATCAATTTTCCATGAAGAGCAAATTATCATTTTGCATTCTTAAGTTATGTTTTTGTAGGCCTCAAAAAAACCTCAGTCACATGCCCGCTGAACTGAAAGTGTTAAAGGCCTTTACTTTGAGTGCATCAATCTTTTGGATCTGATGGAAAATCATGATACACTTGTGGTAGTCTGATTTTGACATCAGTGGAGGCTTTTGAAGGATATATAGGTTCATATATGATGCCATGAACAGTGTGGGTGAAAAGCTGTGTCACCCATAAACTTATGCAGTTACATAGGTACATGTGCATACTTATGCAGACTCTACATTGTGTCGGTGTGAGCCCCATTGTCTCAACACCACTGGATACATCGCCACATTCGTTTTTGACATGTCCTCCAGCATCTACGGAGTTACAAGCTGGAATGCCATAACAATATCATTATGGGTGGAGGGTCTTTCTTAAACTGTTCCCTAAATACTGCCCTGATATCATGCATACTTTGACCTGAGATGGGCCTTTCATGAACCCACACACTAGCAACCATTCTATCTTCGATTGAATAAGAGCTCATGCCCACCATGCTTGCAACAATACTGACTCACTGCTGTGCCACAATGACCTGAAAGTGTTAGTCATATGGCAATTCTGGGGTATTGCAACTTTTTGCCTACCCTGTATGCCATAAATATTCCAAAAAGCAACAAATATAGTTTTGGCAGGTGACTACCATTTCCACAATGTATGGTGCCATATTTTGGGAAATGTTTTCCCTTGCTTCCTCATATCTCAAATTATTGTGTGCTTTTATTATTTATTTTCTTCCTCAGTAATGCTGGAGTGGATTGTTATCAAATTTATTCAGTTCACTTGGTAGTTGCTAGTTCACTTCTGCCTTTCAGAATTGAAGAATAGATGCCAATACTCCATAATGAATTGTTGTCATTTCTCAGTGTCAGTATATTTTAATCATCCCATAAACTATGTTCAGCACCCACAGAAGTCTAATTTGGAACAATATTAATATGTTTAATGGCTGAATGTCAATATTTTATTTCATGATTCAGTTTTCCTTCAGGTATGGACCTAGGTATATTTTTGCTTGAAGAAATCATCCATGGTTGTTTGGCCATAACAGGTTTATTGGACTGTTGATTGCAATTGCTATTTGACAAGGAGATTGATGATTCTCTACTGCACATGTAGGTTGTGAAACATGTGGATTGGGGGGGGGGGGATTTAAGCATTGGAAAATAGATGTAAATGATAAAATAATAAGAAATGCAGCATGTTTAGTTTATTGCCCATTAGGGAAGCAATTCTTCAAAATGATTTCCATCCCTCCCACAAGTGCATGAAACCAGTATAGCCAGGGGTTCTTTGCCATATATCCAAGTTGTGCATAAACTGAATGCAGTTATGAAAATGGATTGCTGTCATTTTGAACATTTGCCTTGTATGATAGGCAATAAATTGAACATGGTGAATTTTCTATAATTGAAAAGTCCTCTTCTTGAAAATACTTATTGTTTCATCCTTTTATTTGCAAAAAAAAAGCAAGGATTTGCTTATTTTATCAATGGTCAGTGCTTCTATGCACAAAAGGCTATTTAAATTCTGGCCGTGAGCAGACATGGGAGGTTTAAAATTCTTTAAGACAAAGGTTAAATGACACCAATCATATGAGTGTCACAGTACAGGGTGACAAATAAGTTCTGTCCCCCTTTTTGAAACTGATTAGTTCTCAAGTGAGTGTTACATACATTAACCCATATATATTACTTGATTGTTAAGAGTCACTTTCACTTTCGAAGCTGTCACTTTCTGGCCAGGTTTTGCTTAGGCACTCATGGCACTAACTTTGGAGGAACAGAAAAGTCCAGTTGTGGCTTTCCATAAGCAGGGCTACTCCCAATCTAATGCCTTGAGGATGCTGGGAACTGAAGAATTCTCACAGAAGAGACTTAGTCAGACTGTCAAGCATTTTGTTGAGACCAGGAGCACAGATGACTAAGAAGTGGCCATCCTCACACTGTTTGGATGCCACTGCTGAAAAAGGTGAAGAGTTGGAGTGAGGCAGAATTGGAAGCAGTCAATGAGGAAGTTGGCAGCTGAGATGAAGATCAATCAGGAATCAAAGTGGCAGTTGGTCACAAGGGATCTTTGTATGCATCCTTGCAGAGTCCAGTGCTAATGAACTGATATCAGCTACCCGGTGCAAGAGACTTAACCAAAGCAGAAGATTTTGGAGCTTTTTAGAAGTCCTTTGAAAAGGAACAGCTGATTCTTTTGCATCAGGAATCATGATGTGTAGCACATCCTCTTCTTGGATGAGATCTTTATGACAAAGCAGGTCTTCAATGCCCAGAACAATTGCCTGCTAGCTGCCAGATTGGTGGAGATGCCATTTGGACATTTCTGGGTGGCAGAAGCTGGCTGGAGTGATAGTTTGGGCTGAGGTTTCAACAAATAGCCAATATTTACCTTTGGTATTGGTACAGAGTAAAAAAAAAAAAAAATTGAAGGGACAGTACTTATTTGTCACCCTGCTGATCATGATTGATTGTAGCTTTGGTATTTGCCACAATGAATTTTTTGCTTGTTCCCTTTTTTATGACTGTCATCATATCCACCTTCTCTAAAACATATTCAACTGAGTTTGTAATTTGACTTCCCCTTGCTATGAACCTAGGATTCCAAAAGAATAATTTCAGCCCAGTGTATGGAACTTTCCTGATACCTACAACACTCTTCCCTTATCATCATCTACCCTTCCTTTTCTAGTGTTACCTTCCCTTCTTCCTTGAAATAACCATTCAACATGACATCTTCAATTGATTCAGGCAGGACATGGTGATCCATTTATTACAGGGTTCCTCCAGGCAGCAAGAGGTGCTGCTGTAAAAGTGCCTCACGGCGTGCAATTTGAGTGATATTTTCAATTTGCATTCTCAAAGTAACTGCATCTGGCGTAATCAGTGTCAGAAGTGGAAATTAAGTACTTCTGCTTCTGCTTGCACCACAGTAGAGGGAGGATGCAGTCAATCAAAAATCACTGTACCACTATACTTCATTTTAAATAGGCCTGATATGCTTGTAGCAGTGGACATTTTGGCTCTTTGTAGATGTAGAAAGATTTAGGAATGAAATTTAATGTCTAAGGAAATTAGGAAGAGAGTGGCAATTTCCTATCCTCAATTTTGATTACATTTGACATTGGACACTAGCTGTACTTGACTAGTTCATGAAAATACCTAGTGTTGCTGTACATGCTTGTTAAGGTCAAAAGCAGCTTATGAGACTTTTACAAGGTAAAACAATGTCAATGGTGATGATGTTATGACTGAGGCCTCATGATGTCCCTTTAGCTTTCAGATAATACTGCCTCACAGAAGCTGTGTTTGTAATGAATAAGTAGTCCACTATATATCTCACTCTTTCACCAAAACCCACACTACCCTGAGGGTTGGAGATTTTTTCAGATGGGACTGTCTTATAGGCTGTACAGTATAGCATATGAATTTCTGTGTTCTCTCCACAGGTGGAACGTGTTATATTCTGTGTTTTCCTGGATTCTGACTTGCGGATCTATAAAAGGTTGCTTCCCGAGTACTTTCCTTTTCACCAAGCATAGGACCCTTCAAGTTTCTGCCATGAATTTCAAACAGTGGAAAGAAACTTTTGGTGAAATGGAGTTGAAAATGTTACTGGAACTAGATTGAGAGATCATGGACTGTGATTGTTTATGAGTGCTTCTCCTTCACTTGCTGTCTAATTATGTATATTTTTTGGCCTGAACTGAATCTTGGTTTTTATGCATACTATTGCATACTCTTACATGCAAATAAAATTGAATATGAAGAGTTGGTCAAATGTGAATGGATCCTGCAATGAAGTAAAATGATCAGAGGACTGTACCTCAGGATGACTTCATTCCAACAACAAACATCTCTATCTCCATGCAACAAGTCAGTCCACAAATCTACTCTGAGATCATCTTGTTGGCAGACATATATGAGAGATTTTGGAAGACTGGCATTCATCACATGTGCAGGATAAACTTTTCTTACATCATTTCCCTTATTTTTTTATTATAAATAGCATGGTTACACCGACTGTATTTCAAATACCACACATACTCACCATACTTATCCACATGTACACCAGGAAGGTGCACTCTATCTCAAATCACTCCCATTCAACTTTCCAAACTTCTTTTTCACGTTTGAATAAATCAGAAAATGCATGCAACCCAAGAAAGTTGGATGGACCAAAAATGGTTAGTTTCCTACAGAGTACTCAGGATGCTGAAAATTCGCAAATGGAATATTTTATGACAAGAAAAACTGGTTTTCCATGGACTTGGTGTTCAAGCATGGTTGAAACAATAAGAAACAACACCCAAACATTCATCAGGAAACAGCATATAATTGAGGATGGAAAATATGAAAAACCAGGAATTAACTGCCTTGGAAACATTTCCAAAGTCATGATGTGCATCAATGGAGAGAAGAACTCTGCTGAATTTGGACCTCCAGTGCTTTTCTAATGATGTCCTGAATGACATCCTCGATCATTCTTTGCAGAATGCTCTTCAGTTCATTTCATTTACTCCATCTTATTAGAATTAAAGGCTTAGATTCAACAGCTACAATTACTTGTTCTATAGCTTTAGAAAATAAAATGTATCATGCACTGGGCTGTACGTAGCAGCAGTCACAATGATAACATGCCCTCTTTGGTCTTCGAAGAATCACTATTTCAATTTATTTCTGCTTTAAGCTTTTCCTATGAAACAATCCTCCCATATGATTTTTTATGGATTTAATGTAATTTAATATATTTGGTCCACCCAAAAGATTTATGATAAATAAATGCTGCCATTAATTGCTCCTCCCACGAGGAAGAAATTTGACGTTTACTGCACTCTCTGGTTACAAAGTGATTACATTTCCACATCTGCTCTGCCGTGAATTGAACATTTCCTTGGCTCTGGTGGCCACATGTACCATAGCATCGAAGACTGGTAGAAGGAATCCAGGCGCCATTTGTCTGGATGAGATTTTTCCTAATCAGCTTGTTTCTATCACCTGGAGGCTTGCATCCAGCTCTGACCTTTCCTTGTATGACATTTTCCTAAGTGAAAAAGTTATGAGAAAGAGTTGGATGAAGTTATCAAGAGGGATTCTGCATGTATTCCTTTTATGATCACGGATACTGGAGCACATATTGCCATCAAGCTAAAGTAATGACTGTTTCTTGGTGAAGAACAAGTGAAAAAGTAAAACTGGTTTTTCTCGATTGAAATGGCACTCTCCCCGCATGGTGGGTTGTTCATGTATTATTCACTCCATTGTGTTGTAATGGACTTTCTTGACCTTGATATAACGATAGATGGCATAGCCAACGATGAGAAGTCCAGTGCTGATGGCCAAGATGCTTCCAACTGCAATCGCCACGGCTTCGTTCACCGTCTCACATCTCTCTGCTGCTAGGCAAATATTGGAAAATGCTGTTGATGAGTGGGTTAAGGGACTGCTCAGAATAAACTTAAAATGTTATTGAGACTTGATTATCTATCTCTTCACGAGGCCACTCCTTCCTTTTGCATTATTCTGACAACGTTGCGTTTATTCTTGATAATTTTTTGCAAGACTTTGCGTTAAGCAGAGAAAGACTGCACTATACAATGGAGGAAAACAGACATTTTGAGAGAGATTTGAGATTTGTAAAGGCCTATTCAAGTTCTATTAAGTTCATTAATTTTTTCCTTATCTCGGTTACGACTTAAACGGATTAAGTAAAAAGTATTGGCAGCCCTAAAAAAAAAGGAACTTCATATGCAGGTATTATCTGAGACTCATTTCATATCTGCCATATTTTCACTTAACGGCGACTTTTCTTTGTTCTTATCTTCCTTTTTCGTCTGCTTTGCCTCCCGCATTTTGACTCGACACTTCTGAAAACAGATTTACTATCCCATTTGTCTGCCCACTTCTGTACCCTCCCAATTCCCCAAGTTTTGAATCAGTTAGGCTACTTTTCATGACCATTTAGTGTCGGTGAGACCTATGGATCTGTCCACGCGAAGTGGTTCGTAGAGACTTTGCTTGAAATTTCACTAATCTGTGGATATTGCATTCTATTCATTCTATTCTCTAGTCCCTGCAGGCATGAATGCACGAGAACATTTTTAAATATGAAAGAATAAGTCGCATTTATCATATATTGTTAGTACCCCTCGGATTCTCATTGATACTCATTGATATGATGCAAATGCAAATCTAGAGGCTGAGTGGGACTATTGAAATAGATTCCAGTATGGGTTCTCCTATGCAGAGTGATGATTTCAAAGTAGCTCGGGTGTAAAGAGAAGATCTCAACTGTTCACATTTGAATGATATTCTGATTTGAACATTAAAATGTATATGCAGGCTTTTATTATCAGTTTAACTTTCAGAACATGTCGCATCCAGCGTGGTCACAAAATAGCCTTGCTTTCTTTTCCCAGTACTGTAATCATGAGGTGACTTTCATTAATTTCAAGCTTACGTTTCATATCTAGAATGAGCATAATACTAAATTGATGGGTTCCCATGTATCACAGAAATGTGGCCACTAGAGCAAGTGACTTTAACCTGAAGTTTCGTGAAATGTCACGTCCGGCACTTTTTTTTTTGCTCTCAGATAAACCTTTAGCAAAAGAAGAACTTTGGCTAATGGATTTTTCAATATCTGCCTAAGGCTACATGTTGCAGCCTTTACATGTCGATTCGGCATTTGTAATGTTATTAAATACTAAGTTTTCTCAAATATATTAGTCTGGATGTCACGTCCGACACTATGGACAGGCCCTTATGTGTAAGGCTCTAATTCTGTTGATTATTCCTGTCGTAAGAGGGAAAGTCGATCGACTCACGCGGACCGAAGTCACCGCTGGGTCCAACGAAGGGTTTCAGATGAAGAAATGAGAAAGTCAAGGTGGCCGAGCCCTCATCGGGGGAATTCTTGCCTCGCAACTGAACTTGCAGGTTTGCCGGACAGTAATAGGCATACGGCATCCTCGTCCCACCGAAATAGGGCATCGTGGATTGATCCGCCATCAACGTCACTTGGCCTCCTGTTTCGCGAAGAGAACGATTCAGTCGATTACTAAAATCGACGATTATTTACATAATGAAGTTTTCGTGCTGACCATCCACATGTGAGTTTTTGAAGGCTTTGTCGCTTCGGTCGTAGACGAGCGTGATGGAATGCATCTGCCAACGAGTTCCTGCTGCATTCTTAAAAAACAAAAAGAAAATTGGCGGGATAAACTTCACATAAAGTTGCACTTGAGCAATAGTGCTTGGGGGGGGGGGGGGGGCCTCCTTAGCTCCAACACCGCATCACCACAAGAATTTCAGCCGTTAGCAACTCTTGCAACAAGTTGGGTAAAATTTTTGCCATCTATATATTCGGCGGCACGAGGGAAAAACATTTTCCTGGAAATGATGAATACTGTAGACGCTCGATATAACGAACCTCTATCTAACGAATTTTCTTTATTCCGAATTTTGTTTAACAGTCATTCACATTCATGTTGAAAAGTTACTTTATAACGAAGTTCTGTATAAGGGATTATTCGATTTTGCAAAGTCATTTTTATGTTTGAAGGAAGAAAACTGTTCCGTATTACGAAGTTTGAATCTGCTGCACGCGTCAGAGCTACTTTTTTTCGTGCATCCCTGGAAAATCTCATCTCGTTTCTTAGTGTTGCCCGTTCCACCCACTTATGGGTGTGGCAGTGGGGAGGAAGGGAGCGAGGTCAGTCAGTCGCAATCTCAGGATCTCAAGAATCAGGGTCAGATCGAGTGCAGGATTCTGCTCGGTCAGGCAATTGAAGCCCTTCGACTTTCTTCGGCTGTTATTTGGTCAAAGGCCAAATGTTGAGCCTCAAACATTTGGGTTTCCTGTGAATAGACACCGTTGGTGACTCGTCCGATTTTTATTACACCCACGTTAATACATACTGCTGTGCATGGCCATATACAGTAGGTACATACATATTGGAAGCTTTATTTTTGCAATATGACATGCGCTTAGGGTTTATGCCATTGAATTTTCCATGAATGGGCAACTACTTGTTTTTTTTTTTGGTGTTGTTGCAATTACTGATATTTTGGAGTGATAATGACACAAGTTCAAAAAGTTTTTCTTTTCAGGGATATGTGGCGAATTTCCCATAACATATTTTCCATAAAACGATTTTTTTTTTCGCTGTCCCTTCGAGTCCGCTGTATCGAACGTCGACTGTAAATTTAGAAAAGGAAGTCGGAGGCGGGGCAATGAATAAATTTAAAAGAATGAAGCCACAAGACAGGCTCAGAGGGAGGCCTTCCCCTTAAATATAGATTGCTCCCACGCCACTTCGATGAAGGCGATCGAGGGGGATCTCCATGGATACGAGAAATGTCAGGACGGATGGACTCACTTGGTCGAAGCTGATGGTGAGCGCGAAAAGTCCCCTATTCCAGGTAAGGCTGAGATCCGCGACGTTGTCCTCGCAATTTCCTCCCACGACCGGGTCGTCCGGCATCGTCACCTCTGTGTGCTGGAATGGGGAAATCTATTTGACGCGAGTTGAAAATTTCGAAGTGATGAAAGCAATCAGAAAAGGAGACGGACGATCATCTTTCCCTCGTTGGACTTGTAGGAGATGTTGAGTGAGAGGTTCATTTCACCCAAGATGCAAACTTGATTGTTTTCGTCGTAGACTCGATACACGCCGTCTTTGTCCTGTGTCGGTCGCGTTCTCGGCTTCGTCGTCGTCGTCTCTACTGATATTCATCCGTTTCTCATCGCACCATCAATATTGCCAAGTCATGATGAGCTTTTAGTTGCGGTGTCATTTCACTATAAAGCGTCGTGTAGGTGGAACTGTAGGCTTTTCCTACGTTTCCCCTGTGCATTGTCAGGACTTTCATCGTATGCACGTCAAGTACGTACATCTCTTCATTCGTCAACTTAATCTACTTACAAATCTACTCGTATCTAAGTATACTGAGTCGAGAGAGGAAGAAGCAGCTCCAGCCCTGAGTGAATTCGCCGGAAAAAAATATCCTGCAGGCATTGTTTCCGGTCAAAGTTAGCGGTTTCCTTTCTTTTACTGCGAAATGACGTGCTAGAACAAGTAAATTGCGTACATAATAAGAACAATTGACCTCAAGGATATCATGACTTTCCAGTAGTTGAGGACTGTAATCCCGAATGCGCCAAAATCAGATAATCCAAAGTCCATCCAAATGATCGACCCTGAACTGTCTTGCTTTCATTTCTCGAGATCAGATTGGTCAGTAAAATTGAATTCCCTCGTTTGAGCTCGCGATCCAAGCGAGGCAATGAAGTTGTTCTTTCCTGAATGCAGAAGGCTTGTCAACCTTCTGAGGTCTATTATTTTTTCACTAGCTCAAATTCGTGAAATATTCACGTCTTCATAATGGAGGCTTATCGACTTCCGTTCCACAGCATTCAAATGAGACACATCGCTGGAATTTTGAACAATCATCCCGTAAACTACCCCAGCCTCTTCCTAATTTTCCCTATATACCAGTTTTCAGGAAGCTCCATCCCATAGTATTAAATGAGACACTACGAATTTGGAACTCCCAAATATGAGATGGAGTAGGGTGGGGGATGCTTCTCGTTCTCAGAGAGCCTCAATTTCCTTTTGAACAATTTTCAGTGAGTTCTGTCTCATTGCGTTATGAATACGAGTCGGCTTCTAGGTTCGAGTCTAAGTATGGGTTTTGGATCGGGTCCAGCCAAGACTCGAATCGAATCGATCTTGTCGGGTTCGAACCCAAGTAGGGAAACGACTTGTACAGACTTCCAGCGGACGGACAGACTAACAAGCAACTAACAACCGTCGACTATTATTGTATAGTTTAATCAAGCAGAAATGGCAGTCCACTCCTTCCCCGCCTGAAATATGCCCTATAACAGACCGCCGGAAGAGCCTGAAATGTAAAATTCCGTCTACAACCACCTACAGTGAAATATACCGCGACTAAAGCTCTGAAATGGCTATGGAAAAATGCATGCGATTGCAATCTCACCTGAGGGATTCGTCGTCTCTTGTCGTTTCGCGGCCGATTCCAGCTGGATCTTCACCTGTAGAGTCAAGGTTCAAAGTTTGAGTTGGAACATAAGCTTTTCTGCCCATACTGACGTCACGAGTCAAAGTCGAGCGCTCATTTAACACAGGCCTACCCTTCTTAAGATGGAGTGGATACGTACTCCCAGCTCTCGCTAGCGAATACTCTCCAGTGTATAGGACCTTAACACGTTCGTCTGACGAAGAAACTTAATTGTATTAAATTTACAGGCTCATATTCCCGTTCCCATATCCGCCGCATATTCACGCATCAAAATATTTGTGGAAGCATAAGATAGGCAAAAAGAGAAGATGATTCCTATAATGTTAAGCTTACATCTGGAACTATACGGAAAATGGACTGGACCCCATCTTGCGCTACTTTATTGCATACAAATGCTAAAACTACAAAATGCTTCTTCAAAAACTGCAAAAAATAGTTTCTCGAGTTTTTTTTTCAAAACCTCTAAAATCTCTAAATCTTGGTCCTGTGTTTGTAACCATTGAAGTATCGCTTCCATCGAGACTATCTGATTTAAGAAATTCTGCTCCACGACGATCCGATGAGGAGTTAATGACTGCTCGGTACTTTGTTGACTCCAAGAAAGCATGACTCAATTACCTCAGGCATGGGTGATTGGATGGGGACATTGGGTTCGTCCCCCAGGATTCCGTGCCATAAACATGGACCTGAAAATCCATGGAGAAAAATGTTATTTACTTGTAATGTGAATATCAAATGAATGTAAGAGCAATATGGAAGTTTTTTCTCATGATTTTCATCTCTTCGTAAATAGAGTGGTAGAACAGATGTTGACAGTCATATTGGCATTTTTACGTTGATGTTTTTCCTTATTACATTCCAGCCATGCTGTATACATCCGAGTAATATTTTACTTACTTCTCTCATTCCTCTTATATTCCTCCTGTCATGAAAAGCATTCGAGGGAGAGAGAGAGAGAGAGGACGAGTGAGAGGAAATGATAGAAGGACGTCGTATTCTCCAGATGAGTCTCGGCTGACGTCATCGGGCTCGGGGATAAAGCAAGCAAACAGCTGGCAATGAATCCGATTCTCCGCCTCCCTTCTTTTCATGCTGGCCATATCCATTCATTCTAGAATTTTTAGAACTCTTATTTCCCAAGAAGCACCTTCAAATCATCAACGTCTTCGTGTTGACATCTGCCAGTAATGACCAGAATCTTTACCCACGCCGGATGAATTATTGCAGAAGTTGACCCATCGAAAACCAAGTCCGCCGATTGAAAATTGGTCTATTTGTGTCAGCGGAAGTGACTTAGGAGTGGAGATATGCTTCATTGTATTGGCAGATCAACGACGTGAAGTTTTTTTTTCTGCATCAGGCAGGAATGAGTTGCCTTATGGTTGCCGATGTGAAACCGCCGAACTTCTTGGGCCTACGGGTTCACCAAACTCACAGGCTCCAAATCCCCATCTTTCACTCTCTACTCAACGATGCGCGTAGGTATGAGGATTCCAGGGTTGATGGAGAAGTGCAGTGATTTTGATGATTGCCAGATTTCAGATCGGTAACATTGATTCAAAAATGTTGTTCTGGGTCAAACTTTGTTTCTTTGGATGCATTTGCTCCGAGGATGAGAGAAGTCTGATACGGGTGATTGAATAAGGAAGGGAATAAAGATCTATTGTATCATACCAGCAAGAAAGCAGAGAGGAAAGTAGAGAAGCCGCATGGTGTGTCAATCACGGAGAGCTTGAAAACACACTGAGCCTCAGCATGTGATGAGTCTGATCGCGGAGACTCGGGAGAGAATCGATAGAAAGGCTAAGTCCAAAGATGGCGCGGAGGTTGAAGGTGCGCATGTCCCATCCGACTTCTCCGTCCATGCCTCACAATAATCCAATTAGCCACCTTTTCATCGCCGTATGTCGTGCACATGAGTGCACGTGATGCGGGCAGCGTCCTGGACCGTATTCACCAAATGATCTTAGTTGGGCGCCCCTGCTCTAGAGTATCTTTTATTAGTATTGACCCTTATCCCACCCTGATATGGACTCCGGAAGCCAGCACTTGCATTATTGTCACAACTACTCGTGACTTGTCAGTGCAGTATGCATAGCATCGGGATGGACACTCAGTTCATCGTAGTCTCTACCCAATCGTGTAATACTTTTTTTTTAACGTCTGAACATGAAAAGTAGGCCTCATTGCTGTTTCTCTCATTGTTCAGAAGGGGGTAAGATTTAAAAACAGTAGACTCTACGCTCTAGGTGGACTATATTTAGGGTTTCAGAAAACATAACTTAGCACTTGAACAATTTTTCTTGCATGAATTTATCGCTGTTGAAATCAACCCAATCCACATTTAGAGGAATAGCGTTGGTTTTCCATGGTGCGAAAGGTTAAGAAGTTGTCCAATGAGCGCCGCGTGAGGAAGTGGAGGTGGAAATATCCCCGTAATGCAAATCTGCCTCTCACAACAGGAGCCGATATCTAGTCGTTGGTCGGATGGCAACAATGAGATTGTCGCTAAATGTCACCAGGCATTGTTTCTATTACGTAGGCCTTCGGCCAATAAGTTAAAGAAAAGCGCTACCCACTTCCTTGGTCTCAAAAGTCTCCCGACCTCATCTTCCTGATCCGGTCTCCCTGAACCAAGTCAGGGAGACCGAGCATCCCTTGGGCCCGGGGAGAATATATTGTACTCGAAAGCAGCCGGGTGAACTGCCTGTCGGCTCGGGGGAATTCCGCCTGCTGCCGGACGGATTCGAACGTGGACCTATCCAAGACCAAATCCACTGAGCCAAATCGAAGCGGTTGAAATTGACAACTCGTTAGATGGTGCCTGTGGATACGGTTCAGGGTCTTTGAGCGTGGACCCTGCCAAGGCGTGAATGTTACAAAGGATGAGGCTGAACCAAATGATTCTTCGACATCAACAGAGGGTAAACATGCTCAAAAACGGAGCAAAGGTATCATACTTCGTTCCCGGGTCACAGAGTGCTTGGTCATCATTCCTTTCCACTCAGGAGGCCTGCTGATCACATGAAAAGCTTCCAAGACATTCCATAATGGACGTTTCCTTGCTGTATCGTGACGGTCTTGACGGCCTGTTCCCGTCAGACTACCCTCCCGGAGTACCGAATCCGGGACGTCGTAGTGTTATATGGGTAAAAGTATTAATAATCGAATATGAGTAATAGAGCCCCGGGGCTCCCGCGGGTTGTCGCAATGTCCGCGGTGCCTCATGGGCTATGCCCATGACAGGAATGTATCCAATCAATCCTCTATTGTTTGGGGGGATGTGTGATATGACATCCGGTCACGCCGTCCTTCGTCTTCCCTCGTCGTCCTACGCGTTCCGACTGTGTCTGTCTCACGTCTGCAGTCTCATAGTGCACTTGGACGACTCCTCTCCCTTTGTTCGACGTCCGATAGCCGACGGTGAGCAATTACAAGCAAGCTGTGTTGGTCCTCTTCGCAGAGACTTGACCCGTGATTCTCTACATAAAGACCTGACTATTGATTTCTCAAGTCCTCATCGTTACCTCTTCTACTAAGCTACAAGCAAGTCCTGATCACCATTTAACATGGTAACCATCTGCGATATTTATTTTCTTTCGTAATTTAACTTTAATTAAACATTTGTTGTCCTTGTTGTTGAACACCGTATTTCATTTTTGTCATCAGTCGCCTCCGTAGACGGCTTGTCCTGTCTGTGGAGTGAGGCCGGACCCTTTGCCTTAACCTAACCGCTCGTGCTAAATTAGTCTTTCCCCTTTTACTTTCCGCCTAACGTTAATAGTAATCTTTCCACATTTAAGGCCCTCCACACGACAGTTGTACTAGCTCAGCCCGACCACCAGTCCGCAGACCGGATGCCGACACCCTGATTAATTGTAGCCGTACCGGAGGCTCTACGGTCGGGGTGAACTAAAAAAAATTCGCGAGGGCGGATAGGTTAGTTCAACTAATCTTTAATGAAAACTCAATGTTGACCACGGGTTTCAACAACACACCAGGGTTTCTCTGCCAGGGCAATCCGGCCCTCCGTAATACAAATAATGTTATGGCATAGGAAGCACTTTTAAGCACCAGCAATGAACAGACAGATTCCTTCAATGGAGATCGGTTGCAAGTGAAAGCGATAAAGACAAAGGGGATAGGAGCTGTACCCAAGCCGGAGGCAAGTCTACACTGTTAGCAACAAATAGTTCAGCTTTTATCCCGAAAGGGTGTTTCAAATGCAACTCATATTTATCCTTTGTGGGTTACATATTTAGCCATTTTGATAGGTTAAATCAAAAATAATTTTAAAAAGGTTAAATAATAATCCGACCTGGATCAATGTGTAACCTTCCTCGTAAGCATGTAATCATGGAGATGAGAGGCTTTCCTCTAGCCCCCATTGAGTGTCCTAGACGTCACTCCCCAATCTTATCATCCAGTCGTCAGGACGAATAAATTAAGGAGCGATTTGGGGGCACATTACTCTAGGGGATTTAGGTGTTTCATGTGGGTATAGTTTACGTGGTTTTTTTAATTATAAAGTTAGGAGCTAAAGGTATGGTGGCCCCCGCTGTCATGTGGTGGACCGACACATGACTCTCGCCCACCATGGTGAGATCCTCCCAACATGAGG